AGCCGGTTTGGATACCATTTTAAGACCGTTATTCTGACATTCTCCCACTTCTTCAAAGGATCTTTAATAGCAGATATTGGCATTAATCCTCTTTTTCAGAAGAAAATATATCTCACCGAGATTCTTGGTGTTCTTCATTCAAGAGTTCTTGGCATTCTTCTGTCATCAGATCCGTTTCAGATTCTGTTATGAACTCTTCTTTATTTCCCAGATGTGATTTTTGTTACTCCTTTAGCTGCTTGAATCTTCTTGATTATACTGTGTCTTTCTTAGATAAGATTGAACTGCAGCCTATTGTAGACCTGTTCAAGCCATACTGCCCAGCAACATCTGACATCTTCTGCCCACTCTCTACCTTTGCTATTATACTCTAACTTTTCGAAAATAAAAACTGACACAAATCTTAATGAGTGCCAGCCTGACAGTCTCGCAAATATTATAAAAGAACTGTTTCTGTCAGAAAAATAAAAAGCTGGAATTACAAGGGAGAGTTTCAAAGTTCTTATTAATACTATCCGATCAGTATATATTGGGTTGAGTGTCAATGTTGATGTCTCCCACTCTTTGAAAAGTTTCGAATTGCTGCTTAAAGACGAGGGAAGACCATTCAATATTCATTATTTTACATCGCTTCTTCTTGTGTTTGTTCTGTGAGGTGTTCGTTGTCCAAACATAAAAATCATCCGTGAAAATGTTATTGTTGTTTTTCGATTTGTTCGTTAACCAATCACCCACTGTAGTTGAAATCAGGCCCAAGAAAAGAAAATTTTTATTTCAGAAAGCATTTCACAGAAAGAACATTCAATGTTATTCAGTATAACAATTCTTTTCTCTTTTAAAGTAATTGTATATCTATTTAGACAAAGCTGAATAATTAATGATTTAATTATTATTATATATTTATATTAGATAATAGATAAACAAATGGGTACCAAGGGATTTTCTTCAATGTTTTGAAATTGTATTCTTTCTTTCACAACTAAATCATCCTGTAGATAATATACGTCTCTTAATCTTTGTTCACAGATTGTAAGGAAAAATTTTTATTAGGAAATTCCAAACAGCTGGCAAAGGATAATTCAAGATTGTTTAACAATTTTGGTGGATCATATCTAAAAAACATTAAAACTATGATAAAGTAAATTCAGATGAATCTGTCTATCTTGAATATCATGGAAATGAGGAAAAAATTCAAAATAGACAAATTTTAATATATAGAGATTCCTAGTAAATAGTAATAAGTTTGATTGGCGGTATGGTATTTTATTAATACAATAACAAGTACAGTACACACCTGTATTAGGTACAAATAAAACATTTTTGACATACATTAACAGTTTGTCAATAATAACGATCCACGAAAAAACCTTTTTTTACGAGGGTTATTTTCACTAAAGTACTTTCGACCTTCACCGAGGTCTGCTTCAGGTGGTGACTGTCAACCCGACCGTTGTGACGATGTTGCCAACGATGTAAATAAATAAACGTGCGCGTCGGGTTTCANTTTAAGTTATTTTATATTATAAACGTATAAATTGATTCAATAACTGAAATTACAATGAGCGCTTTTCTTCAGAATGAAAGAATGACTGAGGTGATTAAAGAATCCGCCTACCACTTTGGGCGACTTATAATAGGATCTAATTCGAGCAAGCAATCCAAATAATTTTTCATAGACAATCTGTCCAAAATGTCAGGTCCTATCCCTCACCACCTGGTCTTCTCTATTATGAGTTTGACCAAATCCATGAGAGACAGTAAAAAGCCTTCTTAGCACCCATAGGGCAGAAAAAAGAGAAAATAGAAAACAATGAAAGCAGAATATCTTAACTAAATTTTGATATTCTATTGTCTTTTTTCTTCAGAATGAAAAAACCGTCACAAGTTAATAAAACTGGAATTACACATTTGGGATGTATACATGCCATGTTGTTATTAGCCAAATTTGAATAATAATTGACATTAGCAAATCTCTTAATATTAAAAACTAAATATCAACATTCCAGTAAATAAAAAAAATACTTAAATTTCTATACTGTACTAAAGTATAATGACTTGAATAACTGATGATTTGACCAACAACTTCATGAAAATTTTCTGTACTTTTGAATCTAAATAATTTAATAATAAAATCTTATAGAAATGATGGAGTATTTTAATACTGCTGAAATATTAATTGTATCTTGTTGTGTTTAATTTAAACATAATTTCTTGATTTAAACTTCATTAAATAGTTTTAACTCAAAATTTATAAATTTGCAATAAAATAATTCCAAGTTTCAAGAAAATAAAGATAGTTTAACTTTTTAAGCGTTGATCTGTAAATAAATTATTTCATCTAGCAATTTATCCAATGCCTGATGTCCATCCAGAAATAGTTCACTTATATTTAGAAATGATGGAATGGTATATTTAAAGTTTCTGAGTATAATTAGAAAAATTACAATTATAAATTTTCAAAAGAAATAAACAGCATCGAAACTATTATCTTCTGAAAACTAGCCAGACTAGATAACAAATATTTAAATAATCATTAATTTATTGAATTTATTGTTTTACTCATTTTTGGGCTAAAATTGTGAGGGGGCCAAGGGGAAGAGATTTCAAAAAACAATATAATAATTATATGAAATATATCGTTATCGTCTCCATGCTGTCTGGACTGCCTAGCGGTAACAATTGTCATGTGGGAGCAGTTGAGTGGGAGCCTTATTACAAACAACACAACCCGTTTATTAGACAATTAACTTAAAAAAAGTTCTATAATCACAAATGGTTGAAGTCCTTGTATACTTTGGTGTGTAGTCTTCAAAAAAGAAGAGAAAAGTCTGGAAATGAAGGAATTTGCTAACCAGATGGTCCAGTTGTTGAACAGGAAACGATGTCTGGTGAATGCAAATCGGAATTTCCGAAGTTTCTCTCAGCGAAGGTCTATAACTTTTGGAGGATACATCAGCAAAGGATGAAGGTGGAACCTTGCGAAAAGCACCCCTGCGAGGGACATAGCCTCGCAGGACACCACGACAAAGAATGAAGTGTCCTTGTGGCCTGAGCTTAAATATCTTTTTGTCTTGCAAATCATCACTTATTGGTTATTAATCCCCTTTCTTGGTCCCAGATTGGTCTTTCTCTGTCACCAGGTGAAATTGGACCAGATCAGTTCCCGAGAAAGATGATTGTTTATTAATACAATTTGACACAGTCTTTCATTCAGTGTTGAACAAACCTTGCACCCCAACCAACACCTCCCTTTTTCGTCTTGTCTTATAAAAAATTTAATTTACTAATTTTTCTCTCATTTTACCATATGGTTTAAAATATTAAAATATTTTTTCCTTTTCTTTTATAATTTAGTTCTCTTAATTTTAATTAATCGCAAAGATCAATATTCATTTTTGTTTGGATTTTTGGTTAAAAGAATGTTTTTCATCCCAGCCCAAGGCCTCACAGAATGAACAAATAATCTTGAAGATTAAGGGTACATAGATATCATATAAAATCAATTAGTTGAAAAAATTTTCTATGAAACTTTTCTACAACACTTTGAAAACCCTCCTTTTTCTAAATTTTTATAGAAGAAACTCAAATGGTTTTAAGTGAGAGAGATCTGTTGTCTCATGACATTTCCTATTGTAAATATAATAAATAAAATACATAAATACAACATTTTATATTGTTATATTTATGGTTTCTGATATTTTGTTGAGATTTTGTAATATGACGATGATTTAAAACTCTTGATTGATTAACAAGAGATGCACACTGTAGACATAATATAATAACTTCTTTAATAGGCAATCTACAATGAGGCCAACTAGCATGGGCAAGGAATGGAGAATAATGCCCTGACTTATACTATCCATATGTTATGTGTGTAATGAACTAATGTTTGAACCCAGAATCAGCAGTGCTTGCAGACTATAAGGGGCACAAACTATAAAAAAGGGCATCATACTTATGCAAGAAACTTCAAACTATGATTCAACGTTGGATCAGCACTCCCACAAGGTGGTACTGATTGCAATCAGGACTAACTTGCCTTGAAAACAAGGAATGTTCCTTGTTTTCAAATCAAAGATTTAGTCAACATATGATGAAATTGCATGGGACAATGAACAAATATTACTCACTAGCTTCTTTTATATTTAGACAATAGGCTAGAAGTCATGAAATTACTGTTGTTTGTTGATAATGGAATTTGGGGTCTCCTTGGAGATTAGGAAAAGGGCAACACAGACAAAAAAAAGGGCATGTGCACCAATGTAGGGACATCCCTGCCCAGAGTAACTATTATTTGCGAGATGGCTATGCAGTATTTCACTTTTTTGCATAGCCATTTGACAAACAATAATTTAAAAGAAAGAAACAAATTTTAATATTAATTACATTTATTATAAAATTTCAAATTTCTAACTCTACATAATGTTGAATAAAAAAAATTAAAAGCAGCACAGGGCTACTTTAATAATAGAATTTCATTTATCATTTTACAAAAATGATAAATGAAATTCTATTATTAAAATATGATATATTTTTACAAAAGAAATAGATGTATTTTATAATTATAGTGGAACCCTGTTTATCTGGATTCTATTAATCCAGATTTCTGGATTATTAAACACAATCCCTGTCTCAGAAAGATAGATATAGAAAATATATAAATGCAAAAAATCAAAGAACTCCTAATTAGTCTACATTCTTGCCTGAGTGTAACAAGGATAGACTTGTTTCCAATGAATTGGCATATGATGTTCACTGTTATGCCAAGGGAGTGTTCTTTGAATTTATTTAGCATTTTGTTGAACCTTTTCTAATCTTTTAAGATTTTCAACTTTACTTTCCTGTTAAATAAAAATGCTGTTCTTCTGATGGTAGTCAGTGTGTTAATTAATAAGTTTATTGTTTGTAACCTTGCAAGTTATTATTCACTTAACACCCTAAAGCCTCTATTGTTTCGCTAAGTTTCACTCATCTCAAACCTTTATGAAATAAAGTAAATGCCATGAAAATGACATCTAAATAAAAGAAAGTGGTTATTATGTTGGAGGAGACTAAAGAAATATAAAATAAAAAGTTTATAAACTTTGTTATTTATGTTGTTAATGATTTTTCTGGATTATCCAATTTTTCGGTCATCTGAGTCAGACCCAGTCCCTATTTGAGCCAGATAACCAGATAAATAGAGTTCCAAGGTAATTCTTGTAAGATGTTTATTTGCTTACCATATGCCAGACATTGCTGCTTTTATTCCCATTCGAACAGATAACCTTAATCCAGTCTGAAGATAATCTTCCATTGTTAGATATTCAGTCAACCGAATTCCACCACACTTAAAAATTAAAATTTTTCATTTATTGAAATTCTTAAGAAAATTTAAATTGGATGAAGTATTAAAATATATTAAAATATTAGAAAATTCATTTTAAAAAAATACTTTTAATTTCATTAAGAAAAAAGAAATATTTATTTCAGATTAGCTATAATAGCATAAAAAATATCATGAAGATTTAATAAATCATATATTGTAAACATCAACACACAAAAAACTATAATAATAATAATAATAATAATAATAATAATAATAACTCTCCCTCTCCCGTGGTCACCACCTGGTCGTGGTGGGAGAGCCCAGTAGTTTTACAGATCCATAGGGCAATGCAGGCTGGAGCACAAGCTCCTGGTAGGGACACCCATGCCAGTAAGGTCTATGGGGAGAAATGAAGCTAAGAGTGACCACACACCCACATTCTGTGGAGATAATCATTATGGTAGTAACCAGATCTA